TTCAATAAGGGAAAGTTCTGATTATGGAACTTCAAGCTCCTGCAAGCTGGATTGGATGGGATTTTTGATTAGGAAGGATTCTTGGTTCCCTGAGATTCTCTCACTTCACCAAATAGTTCTCATAACACTATCCAGAGCACAAGTCCTCAGAGTTCCTGGAGCCTGGCAAGCCCAGAGTTTTGTGATTCGATCAATGAAAACTGACAGTACTGTCTTGGTTTCAAATAGAAACAATTGAATATTAATGAAAGGAAAAAAGCTTTTAAAAACTCACTTGAATAAAGATTCAAACAGAAAAATATTTACCCCAAAAGTGGAAACTTCAAGCAAAGTTAAAGATAAGTCTTCTTTTAGTGTATTCTGCAAAAATAAGCCAGAGCTGGGTTCAAATCAGACCTACATGTAACCTTGATAAACAATTATGTTCCTTCACTTTTGATTTTCTTAACCAAATAAAGTAGGGATGATAATACTGCAGTGAAGGTTGTGTACTTTTATTATGATATTACATAAGCTTTCTGGCCTCAGTTTCCCCCGCTGGAAAACAGAGATTGTGAGTCTCATTTCAGGAATATTGACAGTTATATGATAATATGCATGAAGTGCTGAATGTGGACCTAGCACACAATGCATGGTGGCCACGTGGAGGGTAGTTTTCTGCATCGCTAGTGGTATGGAATGCAGTAAGAGATGATAACAATCACAGCAGTAGCAGTAGACATTGCTTATCAGTTTCCTCCCCTTAATCTTACAGGGCCAAATTTGACAGAGAGTTTAAGTAATCTGCCTGTACACTTGCATTGCAGTCCACTTTGAAGTTCTACTGGAGTTCTTCCGAGAGAGAGAGAGAGAGAGAGAGAGAGAGAGAGAGAGAGAGGGAGAAATTTGTACTTTTGTATCTTACCTATGTGAATTCCTGAAAATTCTGGTAAACTCTCCTTCCCAGCAACATTTGAGTACTAAAAGTATGATTGTCAGACATACTTTATTACTTTACATAAAGATGGGGAATATTATTATCTCCATGAGGAGACTGAGACTCAGAAGATTAAATCTTTCATCTGAGGCCACAAGGTGATATATAGAAGAATCAAGATTCGAGCTCAGGTTTATCTCCAAAGCCCAGGCTGGGCTCCCATGTTTGGACATACTGTCATACAGGTGATGTAGTTAAGGATAGTAGGTGGAGGAGGAAATTACTTTTGCACCAGACCATAATCCTTCCAGAGTATTCCAGAAAAGCAAGAATAAAAACAATGTGCTGTGCCCTAAGGAACAGATGGCACCAGAATTCTCAACTGGGTTTCTATGCTAGACATATTTATATCTCTTATTTCATTCTAGGCTTCTATACATTAGACATTTTTTGCATCTGTCATTTCATTTGGTCCTACAGACTCTATAAATAGGGATTATTAAGCCCATGATAAAGATCAAGAAGCTAAATTTACATAACTGCACAAGGTCATCCAGCTAATAACCAACTAGAGTTGAAATCAGGTTTACCTGATTCCATGGACACATATTAAATTTTCCAACAATCATTTATTCATTCCTTGATTTATCGACAATCTGGGACATTTATAAAAGGCTAAAATATGTTTTTTGGATCTGAAGTTTGGACGAGATATTTTATCTATTAGTTTTCCTTCAGTGCACATTTACTTTCCCTTCTTAAAAAGAAATCTTCATTTTCTGGGCATGAGGGCCAAGAACATTCACAATACAGTCACGTACTTTTGAGAAATGTGTTGGTAGGTGATTTTGTTGTTGCGAGAACATCATGGCGTGTGCTTACACAAACCTGGATAGTACATGTAAATCCTTTGAATTGGCCTCTTGATGCAATCAAGAGACAAGGGAAACATGAGATGTTTGGGGCTCACATAACATGTCATACTGTTTTACAATAAACTTTATGAGATGTGATTACAATAGATGATGAATGTTAAATTAAAAGAATTTACTACACTAACAGACACATTGTCATTAATCCTCCTCAAAATACTTGCCCTAGCTTCAAACACACCCCATGGTTCTTGCCACTTTCTGAAGCAGTTCTGGAAGTTCTTTTCCCTAAGTGTTTTTATGAGGTGTGATTAAAAATATACACACACACACACACACACACACACACACACACACACGGTGAATACTGCTGTTGAGTGCCATCCAATGGAAAGGCAGGCTCAGAAAACAATAGGATGTGTCATCACCCACCCTATTTACTGGATCTGGCACTGTGGATCTTCTGGCTCTTCCCCAAAGTCAAAATGACCATGAAAGGTAAATGTTTTGAATGGATTCAGGACATCAAGGCAGCCAGGACAGTGCAACTAAAGACATTAATGAAAGAGGACTTCCAGAACCTCTTCAGAAAGTGGTAAAAACAATGGGATAAATGTATTCAACGTGCAAGGGAGTATTTTGAAGGACAGTAAAGGCAATGTGTATTTTACTGTAATGTTAAAATTTAAACATTCACTGTATATTTTGGTCATACTTTATATTTTTGTAAGTAGGCATACACTCTGAAATTATGATAAAAAGTATAGTATAGTATATATATCTACCATACCAATCATTTGTGATAGTTATCAATTAGCATGTACTATACATAATTGCATGTGCTGTTTCTATCTGACTGGTAAGTTTATTTCCATCAACATCATCATCAACATGAGTAAGTATTGTGCTACCTTCTTATGATGGCTGCCAAGTCATAGGTGATGGGAGTTTTCAGCTTCATTATAATCTATGAACCCACTGCTGCATATGTGGCCGGTCACTGACTTAGTGTTATAGTAGCACGTATTTGTATGGTATGCTTGGCTCTCTGGGCTGTCAAGCTGGAACTGTGGATGAGAAAATGCCAGTTATCTAGAAATAGCCTTTGACACTTGACGTTGGAGATTTTGTTTCAAAAGAAAAAAAAAACAGCTGAAAAGAAAGTCATCATCAGGGGTAATAGCTATAACTCGTACGTACTCAGAGCAAGGATGTAGATTTCCTCTTTTCTTTATTCCCAGGGCGCAGTAGATTCTGTGACTTACAGTGAGCACTTAATAAGCACCGCTGAGTGAATTAACCAATGCATGAATAAATGAACAGTTAGCAGAGAATACAATCATGGGATAACTTTATGAAAGCTAATTTTGATTACAAAAAGCCTAAAGACAGAAGTCCCCCCCTGAAGACGTGGAAAACAAACTCACTCCACGCTTTCGCCCAGAGCAAGCTTAGAGCTCTCTTCACTTTAGTTTACCCTAGATCTCTCTTAGGATATTGAGAGCAGAAAAAAAGATCTGTAATCTTAAATATCAGGAAACAAGGCCAGATGGTGCAATATGCAGAAGGAAGCATACTCAGTAACTTTCTGAACTCTGCTTTTTTTCCTTAAGAAAGAAAAGCCCTCATCTCCTTCTCTTTGCCTCTCAGCGAGATATTAGCTGACAAATGAGCGCGTGTGTGTGCCTGACCTTCCTGAGCTAAGCGACCAAACAGGAAACGCGCAGCAATCACCCTGGACTCCGCATCTCAGCGACCCCATTGCAGGAATACCTGTGCCCGCAGTGTGTGTGGCCACTAGGGGTCCCCCGCAGCAGGCGCTGTGCACTGGGAATTGGGAGCCCAGGCGGCCTCTCTTTGTCTGCACCCCAGGTGTGGGCGCCTCCTTTGTTCGCAGGCAGGGCTGCTACCTGCTGCGGTTGAGCAGGCTCCTCCCTCCCGGTACCAGGCTGCCTGGGCGCCTTCACGGGAAATCGAGTCTCAGTTTCGGCCTCTAGGTTCACCTGGCATTACCTCCCAAGAGTCGATGCTTTTCTTCTAACAGGAGTTAAGTGTCTTCGTATTCGAAACAAGGCCTTACTACAAAGGGAAACAGTTCTCACAAGGACAGTGTATTGCTGTTGAAAAATTGGCAGCAAAAGGACCACTTTTAAGGCTAGAGTATTTGACATAAAATATTTAAAGCTACTTGACGAATAGCTCCACTATTCTCTTGTGAATGCTGGCCACTGGATTAATCTTGAAAGTAAGGAATATTTCATTCTGTGCTTAGCACAGGGGAAAGGAACGACCTTCACTGAGAAACACCCCAGAGCGCCTGAGAGGAGGGAGCTCGCTCCAGCCACGACAGCCACGTTCACCCTGCGGTGTGTTCCTGTTTGCTTTTAAACTTCAGAGGGACACTAAAACAAAATAAACAAATACAGTAAGCTAAGAGCTACCCTGGAAACAATAAATTACTAAGTGAGTTGTAACAGCCACTGCTCAAGTTGGGGGAGGGGGGCTGCTGCCAACATTTGCTCTATCAAAATTTTATTCTTTTGTTTTCATCGTTGCAGTTTTCCTTGTTCATGGCAAAGACCGTGCCCTTATGTTCCCATCGACTACTTTTTGGGCTACAGATGTGCTACTCATGGTCTTGTCTTTTTGCTCAGTGGTCATAGCTACGGAGGAGCACATGAGAACCACTGAGGGATTGACTGCCTTCTTAGTTTGCTCATTTTCTCAACAAAATTCGACAGATATCTACTGAGCACCTATTGTGTGGAGAGGATGGCAGGGAATTCAAGGGTTGGGCAGAGAAGGATTCTGCATCCGGGAAGCTTTTAAGGAACAAGGAGAGAAAATATCTACCCCAATTACCATTAAAAGAAGGTAGAGCAGAAATCTGTTAATGGAGAAGTATAGAAGGACTGGGAGAATTCACCAGGACAACAAGCTTCTGGTTTGGGAATCAGAGCGGACTCTCAAGAGAAGACACCTGTAAGTGAACATTCACCATAAGTAGAGGGGTAGCAAGGAAGGCCTCTCAGAGATCAGGGCTGCCAGCACCAAGGCGTACTGCCATAGGGAGGAAAGGTCACCTTCGTGAAGGAGATAACAAGCAAAGAGCTTAGAACAGGAACATTGGTTGTCTTTGAATGCCAGGAAAAAGCTAAGCTAAAGTGAAATGGTAATGTTTAGTCCTACATAGACCAAATTATCCACTACTGTTCTTTTATCCATAGGTCTTTTAATATTGCAAAAAGACAGTAGAGATGTCTAAAATAACAGATCAGATTAGATGTCAAACAGATTAAGATCTTTGCAGCATCAGTATTCTCTTTTCACTAGCAAGCAGGAATTATGGAATGATAAAATACACAAGCTGGTTTTCTTGTTGCTTAATATAGAGAACTACTTTGGAAGGTCCACAAACAGGTTCTTGAATTACATAATGCCATACAGGAATGATAAAATACAAGAGCTGGTTTTCTCATTGCTTAATATGGCGAACTACTTTGGAAGGTCCACAAACAGGCTCTTGGGCCTATTGGTGGAGAAGGGGGTTAGCATTTTGTTTCAGGCCCTGCCTGCTGATTGATTTACTGATGTAAGAAGCAGCAAGCAGCTAGGCCTCTGAATTGAAGAAGATGATAGTGAACAGCCATGCCTGCTGAGTTTTCTCCATTGGTTATGCTTTAACAATCCAAATGATCCATCAACTTTCCAATTTCTGTTCTGAACCTGGAGCTTTACGTTTGTTCTTCAGAATAATGCGCTTCATAGTTACTTCTGTCTCCTGCCAACAGGCTGGGCCTTGGCTGTAACTCTCCATCTTTTTCTGATTCTGTACAGCACATGGTGGCGGTGGTCTGGAGGTGGGTGGTGCCGTCACAGCAAGTATCCCTTCATCTATCAATTTGGAATAATGAAAATAATCTATTTCACAGAGCCATGTTTTACTTTCTCAAACTAAAGCTCTATGAAGGCAAATATTATCATCCAAACTGCAGATATAGAATCTGACATTCTTCTGTGAGACATCAGAAATGAATAATGAAATCCATTGCTTATTGCTCCATTTGGAATGAAAAAAATAAGTTTAAACTTTGGGCCAACAATGAGACATTTTCCCAGCAGAATAAGTCACTTCTGATTAGTTATCTCCAGTGAAGGAAGCAAAAAGTTTGCAGACCTTAAGTTCCATCCTTCATGTGAACAATTCACACTCATTTTTGTGACACATACTTTATGCCAGATGCATACACATATCTTTGTTTAATATTCACAACACTCTGTCAGTACTTTTATTGTAGATGGAGAAACTGAGGCTCAGTGAGTCTAAGACTTTGCTCAAGCTAGTAAGTGGCAGAACCAGAGTTTGAACCCAGATGTTGTCATCTTCAAAGCCCACATGGTAACAATCCTATTAGGTGACATAGCTAAGTACTTCATCTAAAGATCAGGAGGGATATATAGATTACTAGTCAAACAAGTAAATGCTGTCTTCTTTGCTCAAACAAACTCTGGGGAAAACAGAATTTCCTTTCTGATAGAGTGGTCCAGGGAATGATGGACGCATATCCCTGAAGGCCTCCAGATGAGGTCACATTGCACAAAAAGGAGGAAAATGGAGTGGGGTGGGGGGCTGGTGGTGCTTGAGTCTCCTTGTACTGAGCAGGGGTGCTTCAAAGTCCAGTGCAGATGAGGCCAAGAAGACCCTGGAGAATGCTCAGAAGCCTCTAACTCTTCAGCCAGCCACATACAGTACTTAAAAATGGGCCTTGTTGGGAAGTCACACCAGGGTGGCGTCCTGGAGGGAATTAAAAAAAAACCAGTTTAAATCAAATGTGACATGAGTGCATATTGTGATTACTTAACATTTGTTATTCACTGTACATTAGGTAGTTGGATATGGATCCCCCCGCCAGGACCTGGCTGCTGCTGTTCCTGTGTCACTCCTGATAATTTTTAAATGGACTATGTCCTTTTAACCATGTTTTGAAAAATTGAACTAGCCCCCAATGTGAACACTTTCCATTTTGCTATATAATGAGAGTACTTTCAGTCCTTTAATGTTTGCTTTTTCCTTTGATCTAACAATTTCTGTTCAAATTTCACAGTTTTCTGTTGCTTCAGGATTCAAAGAACCGATTACCCTGCTGGGAGCGTGAAATAGACTTAAAAAAAAATCTGCATGACATTCCTTCCGGTGAAATTAATTTAGGTTTAAATACAGTAGGAAGGTGCACACCTTGGCTTTCTCTCCCACACCTGAGCAGTTCCTTATCCTGAAAGGGCACAGTGAGACCTGCTGCCAAGTCTCAAGTCTTTTGTGAGGATCCTTTTCGAGACACACAGAACCTTTCTTTCTGACACTCCGCTTTGTGTAGGCCTGATGAATGTTCAGAGTGTCTCTGTTTCTTTGAAGGCCAGCCTCAGAGGCCCAGTGGACCCATTGGGCACTATCCATGGCTAGGGTACTTCAGTGTAGCTAACTGGCTTCCCGGGGTTTTAGGAAATGCACCTTCTGGCGGGGAAGGGGCCGTCAGCTCCAAAGCAACAAAGGACAATTTGAAAGGAATGGAAGGGGCGCGCCACAGCCTCCCTGGCATCCAGGTGTCCTTTGGCCCAGCACTGTGTCCTTAGTGATCCCGCCTTGGCCCTTTGGGTGCCCACACCTGACGTCTTGCTGCCCCAAAGCCCAGCAGAGCGCGCCGAGCCCACCACCTTCCCCCGGCCCCCTCCCCGGCCCTAGGTCCAGGGCTGCGCGCGGGGCACTCGGGTCGGTCCGCGCCCCAGCGGCCTTCCTAGCACCTCGGGGTCCTGCTCCCGAGTCCGAGTGCCCGCCCCGCAGTCCGTAGCCTGCCCCACAGCCCCCAGTGGCAGGAGCTGTCAAGCCCGCAGCGGCTGAACCAGCCCCCGAGCACCCGAGTCTCCTCTCTTTCCTTTGTGTGCGCGCGAGCGGAGTTGGGGCGGAGGGAGAAGGGGGAGGTCGCTCTGTCTGTCTGTCTCCCGTCGCCTTTGCCCCGGCTGCTTGAAGTGCGGGCGCGGAGGCGGGAGTCCCGGGGAGGGTGCGGGCAGCTGGCCGCGCTGCTCGGGGCCGCTGGGTCTCCGCTCGGTCTCCGCCGCGCGCCGGGGAGCTCAGACGGCAGGAGGGCTCGGCTGGAGCCCCCAACCGCTCGCCCGCCCGCCGAGGCCACCCCTCGGTCTGCCTCCGCTCCCACCTACTCCCCAGCACCCGGAGAAAAGCGTGCAAAGGCGCGGAGAGGGACGGAAACCACAAATAAATAGCGGCGGCAGCAGCGCGTCATCTGGCGGAGCAGGAAGTGCAGGCAGAGTCCGGAGGCTGCTGCTTTCTGCGCGTCCCCAGGACTTTGCCATGGGCTGGGGGCCGCGGAGGCTGCGAGCGGCCGGGCGAGGGCAGCGGCGGCGACGCACGCACCGGGGCTGAGCGAGCAGCGACGCGTGGAGCGCGCGGAGATGGCCGCGTCCAGCAACTCCAGCCTGTCCGGCTCCTCGGTGTCCTCCGGTGAGTTTCAGCCCGCCTGGGCGGCTGCCGCGCTGGGTCTCGCCCCCTGCCCGCTCCCTGGGATGGAGACAGCCTACCTGTGGCCGTCCCGCCGGCGCTCCGGGAGCGGGGCAGGCGTCCGCTGTGACACTTGTTAGCCCGGCCAGCACCTCGGTGCCCGGAGCACCTCCGCGCCCGACATCTGACTGGCCAGAGGCGGCAGAGCGGTGGCGCCCGTGGAGTGCGAACGCGGGGATTTTGGGGCTGGGGCACCGGAGGCGAGCGGGGAAAGGAGCTGGGCGGCTCGCACTTTCTGGCGCTGCTGGAGCGGAGGCTGGCGGGGCGGGGAAGGTTAGGGCGAAGCTGGGCGCCCCGTGGCAGTTAGCGGTGCCGCGCCAGTCACCCTGGATGCCCAAATCCAAAGCAAGGGAGAGGAAACCCTCGCTCCTCGCAGTTGCTTTTCTTTGTTTGTTTCAGAAATTAGCTCTGTGGAAACACTCGCTTGGGGCACAGGTTTGAGATAGCAGTAATGAAGAGATTGTGCCTTTCTAGTCGGGATTGAAGAGGGTTACAGGAAGGGAGGTCGAGCCCAGCCTCTGACTCTTGGTTTACGAGTGTGCGCGTCTGTGTGTGTGTGTGTGTGTGTGTGTGTGTGTGTGTGTGTGTGTGTG